CTCTCTCTCTCTCTCTCTCTCTCTCTCTCTTTTTTCATTCATTGGTTCCCACTAGCTAATGTGATAATCAGATGGAACAATTCCTTTGGTGAAAGTGGGTGATTCAAGCTTTGGTGTGATTCTTTGGGGACTTCCTAAGTCATCAACCATGAAGTGAATCACCATGTAATACCAGTTTTCTTCTGAGTTTATTCCAGAGAGTTCACAAAAGAGCGTGAGAAAGCCAAATCAAGGGGTACCTTCCAGAAACTGAGAGAAAAGCAGCAACTGGATGAGGACATGAAAGGTTACATGGACTGGATTGTCCATGCAGAAGTCATGGAGAGTGAACGGAAACGTGGGGAAGGTATTGTCCAGAAGTGCTGTCAGGCAAAATGAAGAAATGGGATTTCCCAGAAATAGTGCTATAAAATAGAAGATGTTTCTAGAACATGTTGTTTTGATTAAGGGACAACCAGAGAAGACAACATCCATGTAATTACCTGTTGTGTGAATGTCTTTTTAAAGAAAATTCTGGGTGCAGAAAGGGCAATCTGACTCCAGACTATGGGGATAGGTTTAGCCCTTTGTTTCTTGTGTAGTCCTAAATGTGGATCAGACCCATGGGGCTTTTTATACTGTACCAATGGACTGGAATGCAAAGAGCAAGTACAAAACTCAATCCTGTTTGGGACCATGATGAGGTACAAAGCATCAAAATTCCCTCCTCCCACTGTAACATGGTATATGGAAATGGAGTTTAAAAGAATATGTTTCCTGAAGGAAAACTGTTTCCAAATGGACATCTTTCAGTCACTCTAGACACAGCTTTCCTTTTTAGTCTTAATGTGGTTTTTGTTTAAATTCCCACACCAGCATCTCGGTGCATCTGCCATTTACTTTGGAAACAATGCTATTCATGTAACTGCTAGTTGCGTAGCTGCGTTCATCATATCCTTCCTTATCTTTGCTTGCATATTCATATTGTGAAAACAGTTATGATGGTATTTGTCCATTGAGGATGAACACAATGAAGCTGACCACCCATTGCACAAGCTTCTCCTATTTGCACCTGTGGGGGAAAAATGGAGAGGAGGGGAAGAAAACGTCCTTTATCCTATAGGACAAAAGATGCTGTGGCTTGGAGCATTTAGCATAGATGCTACTAAGGCAGCCATGCACTGATCAGAAATGATGGTTGGTTCCCACGGGCAGGTTGATGGGATTCTGGACCTGAGAAACAAGGTCTCCTCTCTAGTCCTTTCCAAAATTACTTAAATAGAGCATCTGCTGTGTGTATGTCCTGAATGTAAACTTCATTGGAACTTAAGCTGTGCTTGCATAACAGGTTCCTTTCTTACCTTTCTCCATCTTCCTCAGGGATGATGTCTGAAGATGAAGGTGGCTCAGAGACAGAAAGCCTGTATGAGCTTGAGGGCATGAATAAATTCATTCTGTTTTTGTAAGTAGCCTGCATGCCATTCCAAGTGCACTCATGTAATGTAAAACAGGAGCGTGCACATCAAACCATTCTGAGGGCCAGTTTCAAAAATGTTGTGAAATTCTGCATCCGAGCAGAGATACTGGAGAAAGTGACGCTCCATTCCAAAGCTTTTGTGAGGCATCTGCCCTGCAGGCTTACCTGGAGGACAGAGCCCTGCCTTGCCCTGATTTTCACTTTCTTTGTCCCTCTTTCTTCTAGTCGGCACTGGCGACGATGGAACCGTCTTTTCCGCAGGAAATGCCGAGAGGTGGTGAAGTCCAGATTTTTCTATTGGTTAGTGATCCTGATTATCGCCTTGAACACATTCTCCATTGCCTCTGAGCACCACAATCAACCCGACTGGCTAACCCAGGCCCAAGGTGAGCTGGGCATTCTATTTCTGCAAACATCCCAGGTTCGAATTAACAAGATGGAAGGACGCGACACTATCAGCCCTCAAGTTCCTTCTTTGCCCGTTCCAGTTTTTCAGTGTCCTACCTCCATCTCTGCTCCATCTGAATTGTACCTCTATAATAGTTCTGATTCCTGTCTCTTTTTTACTGCAGCATGTCCAGTTTTCTCCTTAACCTTTGTCTTGAAACCATCCTTTCACCCCTTAGATCCTGCCTATTAAACTTATGATCAAACTAAATTGCATGCAACTGCATGCTTCCTTGTTGGTCTTATGGGCCATCAAGCCACTTCTAACCTATGGGAGCTCTCTTAAGATTTTCAAGGTATGTGAGAATTCAGTGACTTTCCATGGCCAAGCAAGGACTTGGATGGCACAAGCAAGGATATTTGTATACGAATACCCCCACACAGCTGGACTTAATGTGGGTCTGGCCCCTAAGGTGGACCATCCACTCATGTGTCCACCAGTGGTGGCAGCCTCAGTCAGCCTTCCAATCGCTTCCAAAGCACCGCGCTCTTTCTGCTCATCTAGCCAACTCCAGGCAGGGGAAGCTGCCGAATGGCTAGATGACTGGAAAAAGAGCAGCGCTCTGGGAGCGATTGGAAGGCTGACCGAAGTTGCCACTGCCACCGGATGCGTGAGTGGATGGTCTGGCCCCAGAGGCTGAGCCCTCATTAAGTCCAGCTGTGCAGGGGCATTCGTATACGAATACCTCCATCTCTAATTTGAACCAGCCCTCCTGGGTTGTAGTTTGAAACTCTATCCCAGGGATCTCCAAACTTTTCAGTGGTAGGGGCACATAATATATGGTCCACATTTTTGAGGGCTGAAGGAAAATGTGTGCACTCCAGCCCACCTGCATTCCCACCCACCTGCCTGCCTGCCCGCCAGGCCAGATAAAAAGGCAATGCGGGCCAGATGTGACCAGCAGGCCATAGTTTGGAGACCCCTGCTCTAGCCCGGTTACCACGCTGTCCATGCTTTCTATCCATGCCTTTTTTCACTGATTGAAAAGCAAACGGTACAACCTGTTCAGAGTATATGAGGAGGGTTGCAATTGCCCAGCCCTTCCCCTTATGCCCCCTTTCTGCTTAAAAACACAAGGAGTGTTTTTCCAGAAAAGAAGGGCAGCGGGGATAAGATTTTCATGAGAAAAGTGAAAAGAACTAGGAAGGGAAGGGTCTAAGCTCTGTCCTTCATTTTTTGCAGTCCATATGATAGACACGAGGCATCTTTTCAACTTAAAACAATAGTCAAGGGAAAGAAGGATGCAAAGGATATTGCAGTGGATGGCTTGGACTCCACCTGGGCTCTTAAGGACTGCTCTGTGCTAGGGGCTGGGGGTTGGAAGTGCTGCTTCCCAATGGAAGGAGTTGAGTGAAATAAGCAATGCAGGATGGCTTTTCATTTCTGTCTTCCTCTCTGTATGTGTTTCTGAGGAAGAATTCGGTTCTTGGACTGTCCTTCAAAGTCAGATGGGATCTAGCCTATTCATTATTACTAGCAAAGTTTTTCTTCTTGCAGATGTTGCCAACCGGGTGCTTCTTGCCCTTTTTACGGTTGAGATGATTCTGAAGATGTACGCCCTTGGTCTCCGCCAGTATTTCATGTCCCTCTTCAACCGTTTTGATTGCCTGGTAGTGTGCACTGGCATTCTAGAGATCATATTAGTAGAGAGTGCCTCCATGAGCCCCTTGGGCATCTCCGTATTGCGGTGCATTCGCCTGCTGAGGCTCTTCAAAATAACCAAGTGAGTATTCTGTTTGTTGGGAATAAAATACTTCTGAAAAATACGCCCAGAATATTGGCATTCCTGAAGTTCCAATTGTTGCTGTTGGGATATATAGTACTCTCAGTCTAGGATGCATAAGCCCACATTTATCCCTTAAACAGTGATCCAGAGTAGACCTTTGGTCTAGATGGACAGGATAAAAATCCAATAAATAAATCTGTTTTTTCAATTCTTATCTCATCAATTCTTATGACATCTCTTGATGAGGGAAGTAGGTCAGTGTATACATCAGCTGCAGGTGAGAGTAAGATAAGCTGAACCATTTCCAGAATTTGTGTCTCATACCTGATCCTAAGCATGTGTACTTAGAAATAACAAACATTTCTTACTGAATCTTAATTCCTACTAATAGTGCAGTTTGATACCTGTCCATTGTGGCTCTTTTCTTTAAAATCACTCTGAACTTTTACTATCCTTTGAACAGGAAATGCATTCCCTTTAGTGTTTCCATTGCCGTTCCACCATTTCCTTCTCTGGGGCTGTGCAGTTTCCCCAAGGCTACATAGACTGGATCTTCTCTTAGGCAGCACAGTGGGAAGTTGCTCCCAACCTCTGGCTCTGTAGCTGGTGACCCAACACTGAGATATCCAGTCAGCCATTTTAGAAAAGGTGTCAAGACACCCATCTTTAAATTGTTGTGTGTGGTGTTGGTTTTTTTTTGAGCTATTCGCATTGCATTATGTTTTAAGTGTTTTTAAATGATTTTAAAACACTTATTTTTTAAATCGTTATTACAATAATGAAATAGATAAATATTGGCTATTGCCATCTTAGGTGTGGTTGTATACCCACTGAACTCTATTCAAAATGTCAGTCAACAGTAGGGATGGGGACTCAAGTTGTGGGACATACTGTCAACTCAGACTTAAGTTACACTGATTGAACTCTATTCAAAATGTCAGTAATCAGCAGGGATGGGGACTCAAGTTGTGGGACTTACTGTCAACTCAGACTTAAGTTACACTGATGACTTGACTTTGAGTCTATTCAAGTGTGTGTTTTTCCCCCCTAATGTCTTGGACTCAGCCCACAGCTTGGAACCCATCTACCCTTCCCTTTATTCTGGATGGAAGAGCTTGTTTTTAAGACTTGGGGCTTGGGACTTGGTACCAAAGACCTGGACTCATACTTGGGACTCAGACGCAAAGATTTGCCAGCATTCTTGGTCATCGCTCTACAACTAATTTTTACCTCTCTGCTATCCAGTCTGAAGACAGGATGTGAAAGAAAGTGTGTCTTAACCAACGTCTTGGTGGTACTGGTAGGGATAATTAAGTTAGTCATTAGAATGACTGAGTATGTTTAACTAGTAAGATGTACTGTACTTCAGAGACTGGCTCAGAGAGATATCCGTGTCCATGATTTTTCCTAGGTATGTATATGTAAAGTACATTATCATTTCTGTCTTTTCCCCCTAGGTACTGGAGATCTCTAAACAACTTAGTGGCATCTCTGCTCAACTCTGTCCGCTCCATTGCCTCCCTCCTTACTCTCCTCTTCCTCTTCATGGTCATCTTTGCCCTATTAGGGATGCAGCTTTTTGGAGGGAAGTTTGACTTTGATGACGTAGAGATACGGCGTAGCACCTTTGATAATTTCCCCCAGGCCCTCATCACTGTCTTCCAGGTACTACTAAGAGTGCATTATCAGCCTATGGGCAGGCTATCGTAGTTGGGCTGTTGCCTTCTAGACTACATTTTATGGGTTAGGAGATGACCAACAGATACTTAGAAATCATCACTGCTGTGATATTTATGAAATTAATGAATACATGGGGTTTTATTTTGGTATCTGAGGCAGAGGACTGAGACATCTGAGTTCTCTTCCATGCATGAAAACTTAATGTAACGGTTGTGGTTGGGTTTACAAAGTATCTTGTCTGCTTTTAGGTGTTGACCGGTGAAGACTGGACTTCTGTAATGTACAATGGGATTATGTCTTATGGAGGGCCAAGCTACCCTGGTATGCTGGTCTGCATTTACTTCATTGTTCTCTTTGTCTGTGGAAACTGTATCCTTTCTTTAATGGGTGTTCAATGTTTCATTGGGTGGAATCGTCTGTTAATACAGTCCTGTGAAGTTCTTCCTCACTGAACCCTATTTGTGTTCATTTTACAAGGTACCATGAGTTGCAATGTAAGTAATAACCATCTCAGAGGGAATCTATATGGATGCTGCATTACCTTCTAGAGAGTAGTTTGTACCTGGGACCTTGCAATTTGATATGTGGAATCCAAAATCCAAATTATGCCTTCTCTTGGTTTCCACTAGCACCCATATTTGTTTGTTTGTTTGTTGTTGTTTTTGTTAGTTTTTTTCTTTTTTGCATTCCAAAAGCACCAGCACTAAAAATTGTGTGGGAAGTTCCAATGTCCTTCCCTGATTTGTATTTTGATTGCCTTAATGAGTTGGAGGGGGTGAGGGTGAAATTTCATGCCTTAAAGTGTAGACTGCCTGGTGCTGGGAGTAGGAGAGCAATAGTCAGATGTTCCTGGAAGAATGTTGTACTCTATTTTCTTCTTCTTTGTGTGTGCTTATTATTTAAATTTATGTTTTGCTTTTTTACAAAAAAGTTATGCACAGAAGCTAGCAGTAACAAAATGCAAATAAAATAGTTACAACAGAAACATAAGGTAGTTGAAGTGCAGTTCAGTTGGTTGAGGGAAGTACTCTACCAGTTAAACCCTGTTCAAGGTAAGGTAAAGGTTCCCCTTGACATTTAGTCCAGTCATGTCCACCTCTAGGGGGTGGTGCTTATCCCCGTCTCCAAGCCATAGAGCCAGCGTTTGTCCGTAGACAGTTTCCGTGGTCACATGGCCAGCATGACTAGACATGGAATGCCATTACCTTCCCACCAAGGTGGTACCTATTTGTCTACTTGCATTTTTACATGCTTTTGAATGGCTAGGTTGGCAGGAGCTGAGACAAGCGATGGAAACTCATTCCATCATGTGCATTTGATCTTATGACTAATGGTTTTCCAACCTTGCAGCACAGAGGCTTCTGTCATTTAATCCGCAGCACCACCACATCCCTTGTTCAAGAGCAACCCGCCTTAAATGCCAAACACCTATCTTAAAAAAAAACAAAACAGGTTTGCCTACTGGTAAAAGAAAAACAGAGAATGGGCCAACCTAGCCATCTTTAACAGGATACCTAAAGGGTTACAGCAGCAACTTTTTCAGAAACAGCTTTTACCCTTGTCCGAATTAGGAGTGCTCTCATAGGGACTAGAAGAATACCAACCGAAGTCCTCATTCCATTCTGTTTAGGCTGTCTTCAGAGATGAAACAGTTTCCTGAGAAAGTGACAGACTGAATTTTGCTCCTTCCATCCCCTCATACACACACAAGAGTCACAGAAATTTGGGATGTGTCTCTGATATCATTCAGAGCCATGGAAAAGGAAATAAGCAATAAATCAGGATGGTGTAAATAGTAATTTGAACCAAAGGGAAAAAAAGATCAAAGTATACAAACAGAAAGACAGGGCTGAATTTATTGGCTTCATGGTACTATAAGGTCTGCATCGTTGTGCCAAGACGGTGTCATAATGGCAGAAAATTACAAGAAAGTTTTACTCCAAATGGTATGTAATACGTACTACCAGGCTATAACAGGTCATATGAATTGTGCAGCTGGGTTATAGCTGCTTTCATACCCTTCCTTTCCCCTGTGATAATCCGTTTACAAAAGATGTCATTGGCTTGATCTGGGATACTGAACAGACTTGCCATTT